AAGGATTATTGTTACCCTCGATCTCAGTAACCACAAGATACTAAGTCAAACCCAATATACCATTAAATTCCTCGTTATGCTCTCTATAAAACCTGATAGATCACTTTTTAGTTCGCGTTACTTTTGAGCTCGGATAGGGTCCTTTCTTTTACTTTTAACAATGAAGACTGATCATTTTTTATATTTAGAATTTACAAGATGAAAAATCTCCATTGTACTTGTTTGTTGATAGTCAAAAGGAGTTTATTGATAAAAAAATTGATCTTGTAGTTAGTCTAACAGCTCTATCTAAATGGTATGATCAAAATGAAAAAGATCGAAATGAATTAGTTCCAGAGAAAGCAGAAAAGACTGGCCGTGCAGGAGCTGGTAGTATAGATCGGTCAGCGAATGAGGCAACGAGTCCAGCTAGAGGAAAACAGCGGCCAGGCGCAAAACAAGAAGAGCAGTTACCACCACAAACGCCCACTCAACAGCAAGCAGATACTCTAGCAGATAGTAAAGAAAAGGTTGCCTGCACCCAAAACCCAGCAACTGATTTCAATTTCTTTTAGGCCAAAAAGACTCTGCGCCTCCTCAACCAGGATCATTAATAGCCGAAGTCTATTCATGGAAATCTTTATCGATGGGTCAACCGATTCTACGAATACACACAACAGCGACAAAAGCAGCGCTTCTAACGTTACCGCCAGGGTAATTTTCAGTTCAAGCAGCCGAGTTAGACACTTCATTTCCATTTCTCTCCTAGACGTCATGTGTTAAAGTTTACTGTGACATCTCCATTGGCATACCACTTACAGATAATGTCTGATAATGAATTTACCTTTGGAGATGAAGATCCTCTATTAGCCAAATTAGTCTCTGTCCCAGTATGTTATATTGATGACTTACTATACATGAAATAGATATTATTCTTTTTCTTTACGAAGGAAAATGCCATATTTATTCAATCTGCTGAACAACTGTTTCATACACTTGATGATGCTGTACAAAATTTTTCAAATTCAGATAAACAAGAAGATAAACTATTAGAATTATTTCGAACATATTGCTCAGAAAATATTGATGAACAGAAAATAACAGTACAACAATGTAGTCATGCGTTCAAAGAAGCATTATATATGACACTACGAACATTGCTCAGTGGGCAAATAACATCTGATGTACAATTTGCATGGAGATGTTTCACAAACGATTTGACTACACCTGATATACTAGGAGCACACGAAATGAAAAGACCAAGTAGGTTTTACAATATTTTAAAGCTACATGGCAGATAAAGCGCCCACACAAAAAAGGCGTTCAATTTCCTACGATTCAATCATCGTTTTGTTTTGTTACTCGCCCTTCTGTACAAGAACCACAACTTTCCAGCCTCCCGCTATATAAGTATACTTACATAGTGGGAGCCTGAAGAGTGGAATTGTACAGGTATAAGTGTAAAATTCCACTCTTCATGCAGATGTTTTGTTATAATAACGAAGCTTAGGGCTGCGTGAATCAGGAAGGATAAATGCTCAAAACATGAATGTTCTTCTTGTGAAGAAATAGTTGGCATCCGTAAGTAAGGTTGTATGCCGTGTGCCTGATTTCGGGCGACAGCTCACAAACTTAAACTAAAATGTGATGTAAAAACAAATAAATTTAGTTTATACTGAGAGAAAGCGTCCACTTTCAGATGTTGTTTACCATATATTTTTTGACATAAAAAAGATTGAATTTGTTAGCTAATTAATTTCTAAAATTGTAAGATAAAATACTTGATCAACTACACAAACAAAAATTATAAATCAGTTCATTTGAGAAAAAGGATGGTAAGGATCATACGTAACCTTTAGTTTACTAAGTATATTACTGTACATTCTTACAAAAGATTTGTTGTTTTGAATATATAATAGAAATACTAATCGTCAGAGAAAAAACTTCATCCAATTTTCGTAAGTTTTAATTTTGTATTTCTCAATCTTCTACACAATGCATCTATGCTTTTGCTTTGGGACAAACAGCCATACTAATTAACAGTGAAGAAATCATGTTAATTTTTTCTTTTTTTGCAGTATACAGACCTTTCTCATTTTTAATTGATCGTAATTTGTTCATAAGTGCGAATTGGAGGAGAAAATTTAAGGGGACCGTTGTAATACTCTAGTTCTATGAGCATAGCCATAAGTTGACTCTGTTTATTATTATCTTTAAGGTACTGCTAGTACAAGTCGTAATTCTGCTCGTGCTACAGTAGCTGGAGGAAAAAAAGGCAAAGACGGAAAGGAGAAATCGGAAGAAAAGGTGTCGACAAAAACAGCTCAGCCGCCTGCTACAACCGTTCCAGAGCCACAAGGTATACATCATCAAAAGATTATAGTATTACTGTAATATTATTCCTCTTTTCTTGCTTTCTTGTAGAAGAAACTGGAGATGCTTGGCTAAACAGGTTTGTTGCCTTAATTTTAAGGTAATATTAAAAAAACTTCTAATATTTCTTTTCGAAGGGATCTAAATGATAATGAACTAGAGGCTGTTGTTAATATTCAAAAGACTGCTCGTGGATTTTTACATCGACGTGTCATGCAAGCTCGATTACCTGGTAACTAACAATATTCAATTTGCTCGTCTGAAACATGCTAATGCAATAATTTTTTTAGGTCATGAAAAAAATATTGCGGCACAGAAAATATTAAGCAATTCGATGGCAATATTAAAAGGTGATCAAACAAAATCTGCACTAATACTATTCAAGTAAGGCTATTAGACTATTTCATCGACATTAGGTCAATACAACTTCTGTATTTTAGAAATTTAATATCGATTAAATCTCAACTAATAAAAAGTTTTCCGTTTCATTCGGATGATTGGAATATGATATCCTATAAAGACTACAATGGTCAATATCTGGAACAACCCCCTAATACTTGGTTTGCTTTATTTCGGTATGGTCGTAGTATATTTACACTCGTATATTTGATGAGTATAGTTTTCTAAATTTTATTTAGTGAAATCTTTTATGTAAGTGAAGATGGTCTTTTAGTGGCTAAATTATTAGCTCATATTCAAAATTCGGTGATGCGTGTAATTAATAATGATACGTATGAAGAAATGCCAATGGTATTCAATCGGCTCGCGCCAACAACTTATACAAAAAACAAAGTAAATTATCAATAAATTAAACGTTTAAACTCTTATAAAAAAAATATTTTCTCATTATTCTAGTTAGGCTACACGTTTTTTGCTGAAGCTCAATCATTTGAATCATTCGTTCCATCTGGACGTTTTCGATTACGATTATTGTCGTCATATACAAAATTACCTGAACCATCTCGACCAGATTTAATAACATCAACATTCGTTACTAAAGAAATCAAAGATTATTTTATCCCTAATAAACAAAATATTATTTGCAGGTTTGATAAAATATATACAACAGGCTATAGTGATTGTTTAATAGTGTTTTCTTTAAGATATCGCGTTAATGTATCCGATGATCTAGCAAATAGTGGCAGAAATTTTCATTTGGCTAGTATTCAATTTAGTGCATCCAAACCGGATGTATTAATTCGATTATCAATATTGAATAACAACGAAGAAATGGTCACCGCCGAAGGAAAAGGACATGTCGTTTTGCCAGCATTTCTATTCATGCGAGATGTAACAATTGCACTACCTGAAAAAAAGGAAACATCAAGACCAAATTCAAAAACGGCTTGTACGACTTAAATAATCCATTTCATAAAACTATACAATTCATATTATCTTTCTGTTTTAATAGCAGCAGTCAAAAAAGATGGTGGAAAAGCGGCGAGTGCAAAAGGTGATGCAACAACAACGAATAAAGGAGAAAGTGCGAAACAAAAAGACAGCACAAAAAGAAATTCACCTGCTGAAGCAAGAAGTGTAAGTGTCACAAGGGTTCTAATATTTAATAAAGACTCATACTAAAAATTTCGTTGCTGCTAAAATTTGAATGTATGATGACAATATCTTATGTTACTTATAGCGAAGTTCAAAATCGGACAAAGTGAGAACTGTTTGAGAACTGTTTTTTGACCTGTGAAGTTTATGTTTTACATGTTTGTATGTTGGTAAAAAGTTCGCATCGGTGATTGGGATGCTTCCGCCCACTTTATACAGAGCATCTTGCCACGAAAATTTCACTTTGCCCATCGTCTAAAGCATCAAAAATAACCTAAAGGTCTCGCTTACGCTTTTTTGAAAAAACATGTGGAAAGTGGTTTTCTAGACACCTCAAGTTTTTGGTGAGAGTGAAACGGAAGTCGGTGAAAATGAACGAAACATTGCATAGTTATACATCAAATTGTAGCTTTTGACGAGCTGATTCTAATGGTGAAGGAATTCGGTCTCGATCTAACTTTACATTCGAGTGGTACTCAATTTTCTTGAACAATTCCTGAAGTTTGACCTCGATTTTCTCCTAAACGCTCCGAAAATTTTTCGAGATTTTTTCAGGACAGGAGCTACTTAGTAGAATCTATAACTTTACCCATACAACTATCCTCGACACTTTCCATTTTTTACTCTCAGTTTTCCAGAAATCCTCTTAGAAAACTGTGGCACGGAAAACAAAGAAGCCTCAGAAAACGTGGAAATACATTGAATTCTTCATGCTGAACAGAAATATAGAGTCATAATAGTCAATTTTCTTTTTATGAAGTAAGGTTTTAACGGGTTTTCTGGAAAACTGAGGGTAAAAAATGGAAAGTGTCGAGGATAGTTGTATGGGTA